AAAGGAAAACTTATTTATGGTAAGAAATAAGGGCAAATAAACCACAGACTTTCGAGTTTTCAGCGGTTTATGCTAAATGTACGAGGACTGCCCGTCGATTATTGTGGGATGCAATGGACAACACCTCCAACTTCTTAACATGGACACATCTGTATAATCTCCTTTTGTTAAGCAATATTTCACATCCCCAAGTCATGAAAGAGACAGCTTTAGCTGCTGCCCGTGCTGGGGTATACGATGATATCCGGATGGCGGAATGAAGTTAAACCCAGCTCATAATTTGATGCTTGATGTTATGTGTCTCTCTGAAAATTTGTATCGAGATATATGTATATTTGCATTAACCGTATAACAACTACTAGTATATTTAAAATTAATTTAATTGGATGCATTCAATTATGTACATGTTCTCAAGATTTCAGATTGGATGAAATCGGCTCGAGGGGAAACGGAAGCTGGAGAAGAAGGTGCCGAAGTTTGAGGTGATGATGAATTATTCAGCTTTACCTCTTGACACAACTAGAAGAGTATAAAGCTGAGTTAAAGGACATATATTGGAACAGACATAGTCTTTTACGTTTTTGTATCTTCAGTAAATCTACATGGTACATGGCAGTGTATCTTGTGGCTAATTTTATATTCCCTCCCTTTGTTTTAAACAATGTCCTAATTTGACTAATTAGGAGTATGAAGTTTTTATAATAAGTAAAGAAAGAATTCTTAATCTGGTTAAAGTTATGAAAAATATATCAAAATGTCTTTTTGAAAGAAAAATATTACCAAAGAGGAAAATGGATCATTTTTTTTTTTAAACAGATTAAAAGGAAAGTAATTTTTTTTTTTGAAATGAAGTGAGTAACATTTTCTCAAAATAGTCTTGCAACATGGAAGAAAAAAAGAACTTTATACAATCATAAATCCTAGTACGAGTTAGAGCGGTGAAAAACTAATAAGCATAACAATTGTCGAAAATGGGCATCACTATAGTTTGTCATGATATTTGGTCATTAATTAAGTCCACCTTCTAATCTCATTGTACCTTCTACTCATAAAACAAGTAGAAATCTTTAGTGCGAGCATGTCGATTTATCACTATTTAAAATCTTCTCTTTTTATCTTTACGTTTTTTAGTTGTCTAAATATATATGATGTCTAAACATATAATTGGCTATTCTATCAACTAAGATATATGGTCAATTGCTTGCTCTTCTTCAATCTTGATGCACAACTTAGAGGGGCTCGGTGCATAATTTTGTTTGGATATATATTTGATGGAAAGATTCGCAAGTCCATATAAATGCATATAAAAAATGGAGGAGTTATTTCTTTGGAGTAAGTACAATTTTATTATAGATTTTAAGATTTTGATATTCGGATAACTATATTATTTTCGTTCAATAAGGATACATAAGAAATATAAAGGTTGTATGTAACAAACTTTAGTACTCTCTCCTCTTCATAATAAGGTTCCACTTAGCCTTTAGCACACCTTTTAAAAAAATACCTTCTCCTAGAAAAATTGATATTTTAATTAATGAGGAACTTTCGTATATAGCCACTCAAAAATAGTCTAATTACGCTACATAGCTATAGTTTGCTAATTACAATAAGTAGCTACATGTTATAGGGAGGAGAGTGACGAGCGAGATTGGGAGAGAGGAGAGAGGCGAACGAGATTGGGAGAGAGAGGAGAGAGGAGAGAGGAGAGTGAGATTGGGAGAGGGGGGAGAGACGCAAGCGAGAGAGGGCAATAATTTGTATAATTCGCATCTCGTTTGTATAATTCGCTAGTACGTTTGTATAATTTGGTGTGTTTTGTATAATTGAGTGACCTAAAGCTTGGAATTATACAAATATGATCAAAATCGAAATAACAAATTGATACAAACATAAACATATGAACTTTAAACAGTTATACAAAATATATTATATAAATTACATTATATAAATTATATTATACAAAATTCAAAAACTACATGTTAATACAAACTTTTAAAAGTTATACACAAAAAGATTGAATGTATATGGTGACAAAATCGAGAAACCAAAGGAAATCATTGTCATATACAAATACAAACGATCGTATACAAATACAAATACAAATCAAACGAATAATTGTTAGTTGCGAATTATACAAATGTGGCAAATTATACAAACATGACTAATTACATACAACTCGAAAGTCAGCCCGCATAATTAATGGTTAATGTCAGTCGCGAGTGGTAACTATAGCAAACTATAGCTATGATGAGTAATTAAGTATTATACGTTTGCTTAACCGCGTAATTTATCCTTAATATAGAACCTATATAAGGATATCATAAACAATGATCAATTTACAATACTATCTCCGTCCAAAAATAGTTGTCCAACAAGATTTGTCCAATTTAGAAAATTAAGAGATAATTTACCTTTTCGTCTATTTTACTCATGCTATTAAATACTATTTATCATCTAACACATTTCTTAAAATATTAAATTTAATAAAGCCAAAGGATAATATAGTAATATTACCCCTATTATTTATTGTTACTTAAGGGGGTGTGCCAAGTCAATAGTGGTCAACTATTGTTTAATAGAGGGAATACTTTTTAGGGATATGTAAATAAGAGAAAATCTAGAAAAAAAATAAAGTTAATTTGTTCTTGATTACGTAGATAGACACTTAGAGCTTGATTTTGGAAGATCAAAACCACTTATTTTGAGAATTTTTTTTTGAAAAATTAAGCATTTAATAAACCAGTAAAATTGTTTTTAAAAAAGAAGCAAAATATAAAAAGAAGAAGGTAGATGAACAATTATTATGGAAAAGAGGGTGTAATATGATATGTTTTACACAGTTTATTTTTGAGAAAACACACAAAAAATTTCCCTGAATTTGGCAGCACAACTTATGTTAACACTCAAACTATATGAGTGTTTAAATACTCCTCTTAATATCTTTGAAGTGAATTTTTTTCAACCCTTCATATACCAACCTGGTTGAAGGCTGGATGTTGTTAAGCATTTTCATTCGTCCACGTTGCTAATGATTTAAAGAAATAACTTACTAAATTATATATAACTCCTTGTTTCCAAAATAAAATCCGACCCATTTCTAAACAAATATCCACTAAATCTCAAATCCAATTGTCATTCTACAACTAAACCTAACTCAGTTTATTGTGAAGGGATCTTCAACGCATATCGTAAAGGGATTTTTTTTAAATTTCTAGTGTTTCTTGATGAAAAAAAACTTACCCAAGTTTCATTCGGATGCATGTATGGTTGTAGCATTTGAGTTTAGGTTTTTGCCTAAAGCTTATTTTTTAAAATCTTTTTAGTTTGGCAATGGATGTGTACGTCATCTTGAGGTTTCACCATGAAAAATTACAACAAAACCTTGTATTAAGTACGATGGAGGTATTGTCACTGATTGTTTTGGTCATGTAGACGTTGATAAATTTTCCTACTTTGAATTTGTTGATTATGTTAAAGAAATTGGTTGTAATTGTTGTGGTTATATTGTTTATATTAAGGCCACTAAAGCTCGTCACGTTGTTGAAGTTAAAAGTGATAGAGATATTGTGGATATTGTACCTCAGTTAAAAATGGAGATATTGTTGAACTTTATGTGACTCATTTAGTTGAAGAACCTGTTGTGGTCTCACCTGAATTTGGATATGAAGTGGGTGAGGAATCTAATGCTACTTTTGATAATAAAAAAAATCTAGTCAAACGTTCGAGGATAGTGAGGGTTTAGGGTTTGAAGAGGTTGCACAACCTCAAGAACCTGTTGTGGATGATACATTTGTTAATGTTGGGGAAGAGTTGGGTGAAGACTTGAGTAGGACTTCTTCTAGTGTTGGAGAGGACTTGGATAGGACTTCTACTAGTGATGGAGCAGACTTGGATGGGACTTCTTCTGCTACTGCTGCCAGCTGATATTTCAGTAGTTGGATCTGATTGGGAGAGTGAAACAAAAGCAAATGAAGATTCAGACAATTAAATTTGTTTGATTAAGGAGATGATGAGTATGGTAGTGATGTTCATGAGGAAGTTATAAATCTTAGGAAAGACAAAAGGACTGCTAAAATAAAAATAAAAAAAGAGAAAAGAAAAGGATCCTAGATCTGAATGAGTTGATTTGGAAAAAACAAGGGACACAAATGCATCAAAGAAAGTAAGCATTAAAACTGGTCTCAGAAACTGGCTTGGGAAATGCAAAACAACCAATAACTCCTATTGATAACAATTGCAAACTGACCTCAAAACACCAACTCAGATGCTACTGAAGGTGATCCTCGAGCTGATCAAGGTATTTATCAGAGGTTGATAGGAAAGCTACTCTATCTTACCATGATTTGGGGTGCAAACCTTTAAGTCAATTTGTTCAACAATCAAAAAAGACACACATGGAAGCATATATCTGAGAATTGTTAGATACATAAAAGTTCAACCTGGCAAAGGGGTCCTATTATCAAGCACACAAGATAATAATATCACACCCTATTGTGATGCATCATGCCCTCTCATAAGAAAATCTGTAACAAGATACTTTATTAAACTTGATTTAAACTCATCTTGACTAAAATATTAAATCCATGTTCATCAAATCAATTACTAAACAAACCAATAATCCTCACTCTCAATCATCACCTTGGTATTCATGTGAATCCTTTGACTAAGTCAACAATCACCCTTTGGACATACTTAATAAAATACGTAAACTCAAATTTGAGTTTATGAAATTCTTCACTGAAATGCACTTAGCTTGTTCACATTGAAAACCGCACCACAAATCTCTTTCAAGCATCAATAGAAAAATAAAGGTTCAAGGAGGTTGATATAGGAGTTCCAAAACAGAAAACAACCTTTTGTAATGTTACAAATACAATGCTCGTATAGACTATAGACACATTGTTGCAACAAAAATTGGCTATTATTCTATATTAATAACACAGGAGGAAAATTTTCAACCTGGAAGACTATTTCTATATTAAAATTATATAAATTTATGCTTATGACTTTTTTAAACAACTTGGAGGCAATTCGATACCCGTAGCTTTTCCTATGGCGTTTTCACACGCTGATGACGTTGCAGGACCATCACGCTCATTATATACCAAATTGATATCTTTAACTATGATTCCATTACAAGGATGTGAATCACTACAATCAAATATAACTGCTACTTTTGAACTTGAAGATCCCCTTATGTTTTTGTATGTCACCTCCTTCACTTGCACTGAGCTTCCCTAATATGTTAAAAACAAATCATCAACATGACCTTCCGACATACCTAACCTAATAAATTTAAAGATCGAAGGGAAATGCAAGTACCTGTTTTTTACAATTACCCGTTGGACAATATTGTTGATCAATTAATATAGGATTTGATGCTTTTATCATGATAATATCCTCAAATGTTATATTTGTAGCCATACCGGTCATTGATGATGCCCAAGTCTTAATTCTCACACCATTTTGAGTATTGATGAAAGTGCAATTTTTGATGTGTATATCCTTCACAACATCATTTTTAGATAGTTTGCCTAAGCTACCTATACTTATTCCATGGCCAGGGCCACAAGTGACTCCTGAAATGTTGATGCTTTGACTGCCTGCTACCATAGATATACAATCATCTCCGGTACCAATGTTTGAATCCACGATATGGATGTTGTTTGAGTAGCCTATACGAATACCGTCAGTGTTAGGGCTGTCATCTGGTGCCGTTATTTTAACATGCCTAAAAAACCCATTAGTGCAATTGAAGACGTTGATGTGTACACCCTTGCTATTGTTTGAATGTATGTCATGCACAATCAAATTCTTGATAAAATAGAATCCAACTGTCTGATTCAAATGTAAAACAAGGCATCATCAGAAACAATATTATATAATGACTTTGTGACCTTATAATAGTAGAAGCTATCTATCTCAATTTCCACTATAACTTTTATCAGACAATTAGGGCACAAAAAGGACTCAACTAAATAAAGGTAGTATTATGTAAGCAAAATGATTTTACTGACCAGAATTAAAATTTCAACTACGTCAAATAATGAATCAATATTAGAATACTTTTTTCAAAATCTTACGTCATATAAGTTGAATCAAAATTTGAATGTTATTGGAATAATAATTTGAAGTTGTTTAGCATTTGCTATTTTTTATATTTATTAAATTAATGTCTAGTTAGAATTTGTTTGTCCTAGTTCATATAGGAATATGTTTTCTAGTCATAGTAAGATTATTTTTCTTCAAATTGATATTAGAGCTTTTACGATCCTGGTAGAGAATTAAAGAGTTTCCGCTTCCGATGGGTGTCTATGATCCATATATGTCGTCCATCTGACCAATGATCATATTGAAAAAAACGCCGAAAATGATATATGCATGAAAAAAACATGCTAGGAGGAAGGACTTACAAAAACATTGTAGATTTAAAGAAGTGCAAACAAGCACGAGAGGAAGAAGCTCTTCTCTAAATTAAAAGTTGGAGAAAGTAAAAATTAAAAAAAAGAGTTGGTGGGAAGGGCATCAACGAGAGTTGGTGAGAAAATGCTAAAAAATAGGAATTGGTGGGAAGGGCATCAATGAGAGTTTAAGAGAAAATGCTAAAAAAAAAAGAGTTGATGAGAAGGGCATCAACTAGAGTTGGAGACAAAGTGCTTCAGCACTTGAAAGTTGGAGAGAAGTGCTTCAACACAACCACCACAAAAAATTTTGTGAGTTGGAGAGAACATGATTCAACACTTGGAATTTGGAGAGAAGTGCTCCAACACAACCAAAAAAAAAAGTGAGTTAGAGAGAAAGTTCTCTAAATGTTGAAAGTTGAAGAGAGGTGCTCCAACACAACCAAGAAAAAATAAATGAGAATTGAAGAGAAGTAATCCAACAATTGAAGATTAAAGATAAGTTCTTCAATACAACAACAACGACACGAATGAAATTGAAGAAAAGTGCAAGAGTATACAACTTTAAATTACGGGAGAATATTAATAGAATAATAATTCAACGTTGGAGTAGTAACTCGAAATTGTTTAGAATTTGTTATTTTTTATATTTATTAAATAAATATTTAGTTAAGATTTGTTTGTCCTAGTTCATATAAAAATATATTTTCTAGTCCTAATTTAATTTGGTTTGTTACTATTATAAATAGAGATGCTGCTAGTTATTTTCAATATACAGAAATATACTATAGAGAAATAGAGAGAAGTTAGAATTTAAATTTGAGAACTTATGAGAATATAAATAAAATATTTTCCTTCAAATGGTGTTCATATAATCCCTAATCAAACAAACAATTTTTACTAAGAAGGAATATAGTTAAAGTGGAATTCATCAAAAATATAATAGTTTTAGTTGAAATTATAAAACATATCATAATAAATTAAAACTTACAAAGGGAAGGGGGGTTGCACATTGATGCTTTCCCCAAGCACATGCCCCTTGTCCATCAAATGTTCCATGTCCTTTAATCTTTAAGCCATTCATATACTGAAAACGAACCCAATACTCATTGCAGAATATCTTTGGATCTGTTGGAGCTTTAATAACTCCTTTCATTTCGAAGGTCATGGTCGATCCATTGCATGGTCCTTTAAAGATTGCACCATTTACCATATATTCCCCCAAAGGTATCAACAATGTGGCTTTTCCATTCCACTTGCATGCATCCCTCCAACCATTCAAAAGTGCCTTTCATTATAAATAAATAAAACAAGACATAATTAGATAATAAATTTGTCATGATTATTATTTTATTAGTAACTTGTAACGATCTAGTCCGCTAGTGATATTATCTATTATGGGCCTAGACCCACACGACTTTCAAATGCATCACTAGAATGTAAGAGTTGCTTAATTATATACCTACGATATCACCTTTGGTTTGCCGACATGGGACTTCTTATAGTAAGATTGAGGTTTGTCCAACCGCATGAAATTTGTCTATACTCAACACTAAGGTTTTTCCCTTCTTATCAAGATTTTTCTAAACTCAGTTGAACTCTAGTCCACATCGACAAGGCCAACATAGAAAGTGGTTCTGATATCATTTGTAATGACTTAATCCACTAGTAATATTGTTCGTTTTGGGCCTAGGCCCGCATGATTTTTAATGATGTTACAAAACCTACTTACTTATATAGCCAACATTATATTTTGCCAATGTGGAACTTCCTATTCTACTATGGGGGTGTCATTTACCTTAGCAAATGAGACTCTTTTATACATGTAGTAATGCCTTAAATGAAATGGATCTACTAATAATGAATGAATTTATAGCTAGTAACTTTTTCGATCTTTTGTGATATGTATTCCTTATATTAAATTTTTTTTATAAGACAAGTTAAATTATACCTTTGGTTAATGTTTTCTTATGAGGAGTGCAAAAGACAATTAAGTAAAATCTACCCAAGGAATTAGTTTCTCAAGGAGCTCCAAGCCAATTAGACAAGTAAAAAGGGGTAGAACGAGTTTGTAAGTGAAATTAATATTTTTACTCGTGTGAATTCGATAATAACTAAGAACACATCAAAAAGTAAATTTTTGGTTCTTACCTTACTATCGTCCGTCCTTCCATCTGCTTTAGCACCATAGGAATGGACATTGAAGACCTTTTCTTGAGCATTAGTGCATACAAAAACAAGGCCTAATATAAAGACTATTTTGAAACAAGAGTTTGAAGTCATTTTTTTGTTCTCATTTTGCTTTTTTCACTTGTGGTTATATACACCTTTTTTTTTTACAAAATATATTTCCTTCATAAATTTATTTAGATTTGGTTACTCCAAAAATTAAAGATTTTATTATTGACTAATAAGAAAGGCAAGTAAATATAATATCATGGTAAGTTTATTAAATTGCCAGCTAAGCTTATTAGCAAATTCACACTTCCATTCTTAGAAAATGTCCCAACCAAAAATTTATGTAGGTCATAATGACATTTATCCTTAACTCGCTAGTAAATTCAAACCCCCATTAATTAATTTAGAAAAGTTCAATTTTTAATACGAAAATATAAATTTATAAGTCTAAAAAATCCTTTAATTTGATAGTCATAAGGACCGAACTAAATATGCTCCAGAATCGAAGTTTGTTTACAAGAGCATCTACGATTTACTCACTATAGTAGTTTGGAAAGAAATACCTTGTACAAACAATAGAGACAAAGAGTAAATTGATAAATCTAACCCAAAATTCATAATGACATCTATCCATATCTCGCTAGTAAATCAAAACCCCCCGCTCAATTGATTTAGAAACTTTCAATATTTAATGCGAAAATATAAACTTATAAGTCTAAAAAATCCTTTGATATAAAAAATATAGAATGAACTAAAGGATCAAAGTTTGTGTACGAGAGCATCTACGATTTACCATAGTAGTTTGGAAAGAAATACAAACAATAGAGATAAAGTAAATAGATAAGAACATCTTTGCTGATCTACAAATCAACTAAACAACTCACCGAGAACTCTCTACTTGTCTTCACCCATTCTCGATCTATAACACTCCAAAAAAATTAAATCAATATTTATATTTTCAATTGATCATTTTTCGATAGTGAGAATATGTTTTATTTCATACTTTCAGATGAAGTAGTTGCAACAACTATGATAGCTGTTGTAATAACTTTCATAGACTACAATAAAAATGAGCTTTAGTGACAATACAAATCGTCTTTAGCGGCAATAAATATTGCCACTAATACATTTACCAGCCATTGAATTTTGGCCATAAAAATTAGCGTCGCTAAAGCCTTTAGCATCCATTCAGTGGATTGCTGGTAAAAGGTGTTTTTATTGTCGTTACAAGTCACACGTATTATTTAACGACAATTAAAATGACGGGTAAATTTATTCTGAAATGTTTTATTTAACGACAATTGTATGGCAATTGAATCTAACAAAAAAATGTGAATATCCACAATTTTCAATTTTTTTTATTGCCGCTAAATCCAATTAATTGTCACTACAAATTCATATTATTAGCAGCAGTTAAAAAGTAGAATATATCATTGTAGAATATTCAAATTATAATGGCAATTAATAGTATATTTGAATTTTCCCTTTATCTAATTTATAATTACATTTTATGCACTAAGACAACATCCACGAAAGAATGCTACTGTTAATTAAAATATTAAAATATTTCTTTAAATCAAGTACTAATTTATAATATTGATGTATCATCAACATAAAAGATAAAACTACACTACTTGAGCTAAAATGTTATCTTTTAATTGACCTTATTGAAATCTTGCATGCTAAATCTTTGAACATTATAATTTTAGAGGGAGGGGACACTATTCTGGACAATATTCAAGCAAATATGAAAGAACTTTAAAATCAACTACTTATAGTAATTGACGGATTTTCAACCTTAATGGCACATACATACTTGATATATGTAGGTTATGCATAGCCATAGTATAATCAAAGCTATGGATGGACATGATATTGATATGATAGATATTGAATTGTCATATCGATTAAAAAAAAATTGATACCATAGTTTTTGTATCATGATTTTTTGAATGATATATGATATACATTTTAATTTTTTTAGTATTGGAGTTTTATAAATAAAATATCAAAATATTGAATATTGTACTGAATTATATAGTGAATAAAATAATTCATATATTATTATAATACTAACAAATATTCAACCAAGTATTAGCATAAAACTAAATGATCGGACATTGTAACTTTTACTACTATATTTTGATTGAAATGTTTTTTGTACAATTGATTAACAATGGGAGCTACTTGTACTTTATTTTGAATAAATATTTTTACACGTGTAAGGTATTAGTATGATATAATTGAGACGATTTTTGAAACACTTAAGGGCATCTCCAACCCTAATCTCTATTTTACTCTCCAAATATAGAGTTTTCTATTGTTCCAGACGACCAACTCTAACCCAGTTTTCTATTTTACTCTCTAAAAAAATCTTTTTCTCTCTCCTCAATATTATATTATTATTTTTATTTCATTCTTATTTTCTTATTTATGTGATATAAAATTTGATTTTTCTCAATTTTTTTATTTAATATAAAATTATATTTTATTCTAAATTTCTAAATAACATAAATTGCAAGAAAATAACATATAATATACAAATTAATAGACAAATTCAAATATAAGTGAAATACATTTACATAAACATCAAATAAACACTCAACTTTCAAAATTATTACATTGCTCCCATCAATGTTCTATTAATACATTACGGAGTTCAAAATGAGTATTTTTTTCCTTATTTTTTTATGTCTAGCTAAAAATTGTTCAAACCGGAGATTTTCATCTACCACCATACCCTATTTTTTTTAATAGTGCTAAATTTGAAAAACGACCTACCGGATTACTAAATTATTGTTGTGATAAATTAATTATTATGTTATGCATTGTATTTTTAATTTAAATTTTTCATCTTATCATTTTAATTTTGTGCATTCTTTATAGGGAAAATCAATAATAAAATAAAATTAGAAAAAAAATTAAAATACTTTAATTCGGGATGAAAGTAGTATATATTAAATAATATATTTATTAAAATATTATATTACATTTAAGAAGAATTATGAATTTAATTAATGACATTATATTTAAAATAATATGTTAATTAGAAAATAATAGTAATAATAATAAAATATTAACAAAAGTGAAATAGAGAGTATGAATAGTAATTCTCCATTTAACTCTCTAAATATGAAGAATAGAGAGTAGTATGGAGGGAGGTTGGAGTGCCCATTCTGTATTTTACTTTCCAAATATAGAGAATGGAGAGTAAACTAGAGGTGGGTTGGAGATGGTCTAATTCTCTATTATATGAGTATATATAAGTAAAAGTTGAACAAATTATAACAACCGATTTACCATACCGTGAAATACCAAAACCCAACTTAGAAATACCGAATCATAATTAATTTTGTATGGCAATGATATTGTATTATTAGAAATCAAAAACATAAACCGTAACATAGCATAGCATGCCCGCCACCCCTAATTAAAACTAACAAAATTGTAACTATAAAAAAATATGAAATATTCTTATAAAAAATGGTCCATGTCAAGGAAGATATGAAATTGAGAAGCATTTACCATAAAAAAAAATCATGGGAAACCAACCAATGTTGTTTGAAGCGATCAATTAGTAGTTGTGGAAATATCATAATTTTAATTAATTAGATAGTGTTGCAATCCATTTAGATTAAGGGGCTTTGAACTTTTATGTTTCAATTAACATATCACTATTCTTGTTACTAAACACAGCACTAATTGGGAGCTCCTTTATAAGCTTGAGATGATTGTGAAACCGCGAGGAAACGATAGATGAGATTGACCAATTAATTAGTATCTTCTGACCAAATTGGATGTTGCAGCTATCTTGACATTTCAGCGCTTGAGATGTATGGAGTGAAAAATTAGTTTTTCCGAAAGTGTTCTAGAAAGACGAGATAATTTTGTGTTGTATTCACTAACAAAATTTATTTTAGCTCATAGACATTCAATTTCTGTTTGATTTATTTTGTAGAGTTAGGTTAAGGAAAAAAT